CATTCAAATATAGGCTAGACAGCTATCTAACTTCAGAGAAGTTGTTGCTGAGAGAATATAAATGCTTCCATTATGGACATCAAAGACCAAAGATGGTTGATTATGCACAAAATGTAAATTAATGCTTCTTCTTTCTCTTACTTTGGTTTTTGTGTGGTAAACAAATGCTTCATAGTTGGACAAATAACGCTTTTTCAGTCAGTGCATTTCATTCGTTTTGGCAAGAACTTGTGTCCTTTCTGTCAGTCATGACTGGCTGTAGCATTAGTAGGATGCTGGGGAGTCCACCAAGCCCTGTGGCTGTAGCATTAGTAGGATGCTGGGGAGTCCACCAGGCCCTGTGGCTGTAGCATTAGTAGGATGCTGGGGAGTTCACCAAGCACTGTGGCTGTGGGAGTGGAACTCATGCTCATCTCCTGCTTCCCTTGATAGGTTTGTACTTCTTTTCTGTCATAGCACCGCATGGTTTTGCTCACTGCATTTTGTAGTCTCATTTCTACATTTTCACACTTATGTAAATCTTTACATGCATATGAGTCTATAAATCTATGTTTGTACACATATTATTGTTTGACTGTTTCTAAAGAGAAACCTCAGATACTGCGGTCACGATAGACCCAACAGGTAGAACTTTCTGAACCTCAGACTCCCAAAGATTTCTTTCGACACTCTTGACCAACAATGTGTCTTCATCATCACCATTACAAAGTTAGAAATATCAGTACTTCTTTCAATGTGTGTATGCATCCTCTCTTGGAAAAGCTTAAGTCTATATTGATAATTAAGGATAAATGCTCAAAGATCAAGATGTGAATTTGAAGCTGAGGCAGCAAGTCAAAAATTGGTATAGTTTTTCATTTATGCTCTGGACGTATTGCCTGAGAGCAATCCTATCTATCTCCATGACTGATGCATAAACTATTACAGTGAGTAATTATCATATATGGAGTACTATAAACTGGTTCTTGCCTACCCAGAAATTTACATGTCCTTTATAATCTTCTATCCCCTCCCTCCACTTAGTCTTTCTGTGATCCACTGTCCCACCTCTCCATGTAGAGACAGAATCATCTGATGATCGCTCATTCCTCATCTATGCTGTAGATCTTTTCTAGTAGCTGCATATAAAGGTATTTTTGCATATTTGTTGAGTTATTAATTTGCCAGGTTTATGAAGTGTAGTTGATATAAAGAATCATGTTGTGAAATATTTGCATACTGTGTGAAGCTATATTATTGTGATTGGTTTAATAAAGAGATGAATGGCCAATAGATAGGCAGGAGGTATAGGTGGGAGTTAGGCAGAGAGAGAGGAAGAAGGAGATGAATCTAGGTGCATATCAGATACAAAAAAGACATGGAGAGAGTTGGACATATAGAATGAAAGCAAGGTAAAAAACCAGAAGACAAAACATAGATTAATACAAATGGGATAATTTAAGTTATAAGAGTTAGTGGGACGAGCCTAAGCTAAGGTCAGGCTTTCATAGTTAATACATCTCTGTGTCATTATTTGGGAGCTGACTAGTGGGGTAGAGAAAGACTTGTTATAGAATAACATTTATTTAATACATTTAATTTTGGAGGTTTGAATAAGTGAACACTGATGAGGGAAGTCCTTCTGTATAAGAGTTGTATGGCTAAACATACAACATAACCCATAGAATTACGGGCTAATTGAAGTTGTAAGAGCTGGTTAATAAAAAGCCTGAAATAATAGGCCAAATTGTTTATAATTAATATAAACCTCTGTGCGTTTATTTGGAGGTGACTCTAGAATCTTCTGTTTAGAGAATACATTCACAGATTCATCATGGCAACCAAAGTGTCAATACATTAATAAATTCCCCAAATTTTCTCATGTTTTTGAATGACAAAACATGAAAAATTAAAGTGGGTAAATATACTGAATGGATATTAATTTGAAGAGGACGTGAAAGAGTAGAATAGAGAAATGGTGTGCAATGACTGGATCTAATGACTTTACAGTTGACAGAGACATGACCTCACATATTAATTTTGGTGGTGAAAAATAATTTAAAACCCACTTTAAAATTATTTTATTTGAGCTGTATGTGTGTATATGTGTGTGTGTGCGCATGCGGATATGTTCATGTGTATGAGTATATACATGTAATGCAATGCATACCAAGGCTAAAAGAGGATGTCTGATCGCCTTGAGCTAGAGTTACACAGATGGTTGTAAACCAGACTATGTGGGTGCTGGGAACTAAATTCATGCCCTCTATAAGAGTGGTAGGTTTCTTAACTGCTGATCCACCTTTTCAGCCCTTAAAAACCCACCTTTTGTCAGTGTTGAGTTACATAGTACATTGTTGTAAAAACACCATTCCTTTCGCAAGGAAAGTTTGTCTTTCATAACTAATTGAAATCCTATATGCTTTTTGTAAAAATTTTTCTTTTTTTTCAACTTATGTCATCATCTAAAGTAACTACTGATTAGTACCATTTCTCTGAGGAGTTCTGGATTACATCATAGACATGAGGGTGTTGTGGCCAAACTTATGGACAGTTTTAGAAAATGGGCTTATTTACACTCCAGCAATGGAGTTATGAAACAAGGAAAGATCTTCACTTGTAAAAGGAGTCCATTGTGATAACTTTTCTGATAATTATAAATGGTAAATTTTTAAATAGAATAAACTTATGGAGATTTTAGCACAAAGACTTGTAATAAAGAAATAAATTGTAACTTGCTGGAGAAGTATAGAACTGACAAGCTTATGATGGTGAAACATAATGTGATAGTCTCTTTTATTATTTTTAGGTGCATAATAGAATCTTGAAAACTATATTACAATACTTCCCTGAAACACTTACACAACAGGTTCAGTACCCCATTTAAGATTTATCTTCCTTGAATATTTTCAGAGAACAAAATTTTCATGTTGAGTCTCATATATCATAGTTTTGGAGTTTCATGGTCTAGAAGGTTTTATTTATATTAACTAAACTTATTGAACTTATTTCTATTATATGGCTGGTGTTTCATTGATTAGAGGATCTGAAGCTAAGAGACCACTTTCACATCTGCAGTAGTTGCTCAGTGTTAAGACACAAAATTTGCTGTTGTGTAAGGAAAGAAGTAAAGGTGCACATCAACCTGAGCAAGGCAGGAATCCCAAAGCACAGATATTTAAAGGAAAGGCAAGAGAGACACTGAACAGAAACCCGTATCGTGGAAACAGCAGATAAAGACAGCCTGAAGTGAAAGGTAAAGATGAAAATAGAATCTCAGAAAAGTCAATGACCACACATATCACAACTTCAGAAGCATGTCAAAACAGAGGCATTAAATATGTGGCTAAAATGGTGTATCAGAGCAGAGAAATGAGAGTAGGACCAGAAGAAACGATGGAATGGTTAGAACAAAGAGCTTCACATGAACAACATGTCATTTTCTTTTTAGTATTTAATCTGAAAAAACTTAAAATCAATTCTTCCATAAAAGTTTGTAAATATTAATCTTGACTAAAACCCATGGTCTGCATGCTGTGCAACAGGGCTCTAAACACAGATCCTTATACTTAGAACCCCTATATTCATCCAACCGTTCCGTGGGCATGTGATCTTGTTCCATCCTCTGTTGTCTTCTCAATTCCTTTTCTAAACATCTAAAGTTTTTATCATACAGGTTTTTCACTTGCTTCATCAGTTATCGGTATATTGTGAAAAGCAGTGCTTGTCCGATCTCTTTCTCCGTGTGTTTGTTGTTTATATTTTGTTTATCACTTTTGTATCCTGCTACTTTGCTGAAGTAATTTTTCAGCTATAGAAATTCTCTGGTGTTTTCTTTAGAGAACTCTATGTATAAAATCATATCATCTGCGAATAAGGATACTTTGAGTGCTTCCTCTTTTATTTGTCCCTATTTAGACTTTGTCAGTTATCTTACAGCTGTAGCTTAGATTTCAAGTATTACATTGAACAGGTCTGCTCACCATTGTCTTGGTACTGATGTTAGTGGAATGTTTTGAGTTTCCCTCTGTTTACAATGATGGTGGCTGTGGGAGGTCTGTAAATGGTTTTATTATGTAGAGCTGTGCCCCTTATACACTTAGACTCTTACAACAGATTCTTTCATCAAAATCTTTCATTTACCCATCTACTTCAGCAATATGGAGGTACTCACTGTTGGTTAATTGTGTTTAAGAGAAAAGCAATTATATTTATTTATATACTTGCTTTAGTATGAGTATATATTGAGTAATTGGCAAGATCGACTCTTATTTAAGAATTTAGCTTAAGTAAAACACAACAATAAAAACTTGAGACGAGACATTTTCAAACTTTTAGGTGGTAACCCTTGGAAATAAATATCAATGAATGATAAGACTACATCTCATTTTATAACTTGTACATGAAAAATTTAATAGAAAGTGTTCAAGCAGGAAATTATGGAGATAGAAATCTACCTTCAGAAAGTTCTGAGTTTGAGCTGAAAGATGAAGATTCAAAGCTCAAGTCTGTCAAAAATCTATGAAAAGCAATTTTGATTTATTTTAATAGCAAAAACAGAATTGGTACAAAGATTATTCTCCAACAGCTGCTAATGGAGAAGGTAATGACACTCTTCACCATGAATGGCAATGTATGGTTGATAATTCCAAAGACTTGAAAAACATAATCCAAACACATATTTATTGGTCACACATATTTGGTGGTATGTTATGTTATGTCATGGTCATGTAATGACTTTATAGAGGATAATCTATAATTTGCTAAGCTTCACTGTTCAGAAAATATATTATTATTTTTGAATGCTTCTTTGAGTTCCTAGGGTAGTAGTAAGTAACTTGTGAATTCCTAACAAACTTTCAGAGAATGAGTTCACTCTACAATGTTGTCAAATGAGAGGGCAGAGCCCATGTGAGGCATGAGCCATCAATCTGTAGGGTATAAAAGTCTGGGGAGACTGGATGGCACTCACTTCACACACATCCTTCTGCTTCTCAGCTGAAACCTCACCTCTCATCGCCATGTGCAGCAACTACTACGGAAACTCCTGTGGAGGCTGTGGCTACAGCTCTGGCTGTGGCTATGGCTCTGGTTGTGGCTATGGCTCTGGCTGGGGCTATGGCTCTGGTTGTGGCTATGGCTCAAGATATGGCTATGGCTGTGGCTATGGCTCAGGTTATGGCTGTGGTTACGGCTCTGGCTATGGCTGTGGATATGGTTCCAGGTATGGCTGTGGATATGGCTCTGGCTATGGCTGTGGATATGGTTCCAGGTATGGCTGTGGATATGGCTCTGGCTATGGCTGTGGATATGGCTCTGGCTATGGCTGTGGATATGGCTCCAGGTATGGCTGTGGATACGGCTCTGGCTATGGCTCTGGATATGGCTCTGGCTATGGCTGTGGATACGGCTCAGGCTATGGCTGTGGATATGGCTCCGGCTATGGTTCTGGATATGGCTCTGGCTGCTGTAGCTACAGAAAATGCTACTCTTCTTGCTGCTAGTCCTGACCACAATTCCTCCTTCACCCTGGGAATGAGCAATAGAAGAGCAAGCTGAGCTGCAATCAGCATTCATTCCCTTCAATCCTGAGGGGTGTCTGACAACTGTGTGCTGGGCAGCTGAAATCATCTCACACTATGCAGTTGTTCCTGAAATAAACTGAAGAGTTTGAATATCATGAAGATTAATTTTCTTTTTCTGGGTTTTGGAATCTAACTCTCTTTGGAGCCTGTGATGCAGCCTTCTTTGCATGCATTTAAACTTACAATTGGAATATGCAAATGAGGGAGAAATGGTGGAATTCTGAATAAATTAATTTATTTGCTCTGAAGTCTGGACTCTTCTGTCAGCATTATCTTTAATAATTTTTTCATTGAAATTTATCACTTGAATAATAACATTTTGAAATATGTAAAATAAATAGTCTTAGATTGTATAAAACATGCTAGCACCCAAATCATTGGAAAAGACATAGCGTCTCTCTTTACACTGTTGCTATATTAATTTTGTGTCCATATTTCCAAGAGGGTGATGATTGGGACCAGTATTTTGCTCATGTTCTAGGAATGAAAACTAGGATGGTAGGTAGTGAGGGCAATCAAAGCTTGCTGGGAACCTTCTTTACACGTTTAGGAAAGGAACCTACTCCTTACTGTTTACCACTGCTTGCCTCTTGTGCTCTCATGTGGCCTCTCAGAATTAAAGACAGTTGAAGAGAGGAGGTTGGTGAGCAGCTAGTGTATCAGTCATCCAACCGTGTTCTGAAATGTAATAGATTTGAGGTCCTGGGGAGAAGAACAAAAATCTAAGTGAACAAAAGCATAAAATAGTGGACAGGTGGCTTATGGGCATTTCTGCTGTGCAGACATCCACTTGTGCTGGTCACATCCAGGGTAGAAGAGTAAGATGAATAAACCATCCCGTTCCCATTAGATTATTGTTCCCGTAGGCTTTTTGTGTTTTTTAAAGATATTATTATTTTGCTTGCAGTTTCGTCTTTATTTCTATTTTTTCCCATCAGCCATTCACACCCACTTTTCAATTTGTTCTGTTGCATTTCACCCCCCCCCCCAGGAGTCCCAAGAGAAATGATCATTCTATAAGTTGAATATACCTACTACGCAAGTGTGAAAACTGGAAGCCTCTACATGTGAAAGAGCTAGTTTGTTGGCCACTGGATTATTCTACACTGCAAAAGTATATGTCAATCAGAAAAATACTAGCAAGAAAGGAAAACAGTAGTTTCATTACATGTGTACAAAGAGTATTTGAAGTGCAAAGAGTTCTGTGTCTCAAAACGAATCCCATTGTTATGACATCTTAGTTTGTGCATATAAATATTCAAAAATACAAAATAGATTAGGATGAGAGGACATGGAGGATAAAGATCATATTATCCCCTCTTTGCATTTCAGGTGATGAAAACATCTTGGTTATCTTTGAGATTTCTGTTTTATCAGTAAGCATGATTTGTCTGTAGATATCCATCCTTGTTACCATGAGCTAGGTATTTGGGCCTAGACATTTATAGATTGAGGGGTTTATAATAAAGATCAATAAGTCTTGTATTTGTTTATATTTGTGATTTCTATTTGCTTTATGGTTCTCCATGTGTGACAGCTATAGACATTTGCTAGTCCATAATTATAAAGTCATCAAAATTTATTCCTTTTTGCTCTTCACCATGGAAGCAGTGGAGATGATCAGAAGGCAAAAGATCATGAGCGCAGAGGTGGTGGAAGACTCTGAGGAGGCCATGGCTTCCAGACCCACAGGACTGTTGGAATACCAACTACCAGAGACTGGCAGCACACACATGGCCTGCCCTGGTCCCAACCAGGTGGGATTTCCGTACAGAGAGAAGGAAGGGGACACAAGCTCATTTTATCCAAGAAGCTCTTTGAAATTGATACATGCTAGCAAAGAAAAAATTAGTTTCTCGATCAGAGTCTCACTGTAGATATGATCTACACGCCAGGATAGGTCCAATACCCAGGGGGAGTTAACAGACACAAAATGAAGTCCTTTTTTTTTTTTTTTTGAAGATTTTTTGTCTCACTTTTTGGGTAGGTGGGTTTGTATTTTGCTTGTATTTTTTAATTTCTTTTTTGCTTGATTTTTGTGTGTGTGTGAGTTTTGTTTGTTTGTTTGTTTGTTTTGGTAAAGAAAGAGGAGAAAAAGGTTGTCTGGTGAGAGAGGTGGGGTTGATTCCTGACGAAGTTGGAGGGAGTAAAATGTTGTGCACTGTGCCCCCATCCGCGCTCTATGCGCTAGGATCCAGTTCACGAGCTTCAGGCAAGGGGCTGGAGGCTGAAGAAACACATACAGAGACAGACAGACACACGGACCTCCAATCACTGGAACAAAGGCCATTCTTTAATAGCGCCATGGAGGTTTAAATACCCAGCAGTCAATGGCCAACAGGTGAAAATCCCATCCTCTGATCCTCTAAGCAAGGCACAGCTTTTAGTAACTTCAATTAGAAGACTCTAGCAGGGAAGAGCAGCTGAAGGCCAGGACTCAATGGGTCCCAAGAGTAAAAGGAGAAAATATTTTATAAAAATATTTTTTAATAGTAAAGCCCATTATTTCTGCATTTTACTTATCTCTTTCATATACCAAGCACCATGCTATGTGCTATGATCTCACTGTCTCTTAAAAATTTATGTTTCACATTTGATCACTAACCTCTTAGAAACTTCCTTTTTATATTTAATTTCAGTTACATATCTGTCTGTATTGTAAAAGTTTCCCCTGTATCATCTACTCTGCAACCAATCATTTCAAATGACTGGCAGAGAGAATGGAAGAAGGAGATAATCTAGACATGTGTTAAATACCAACAAGACACAGAGGGAGTCTGACATACAGAATGATGAGAGGTAAAAAGGCACAAGACAAAACCATAGATTAATATAAATGTGTAATTGAAGTTATAAGAGTAAATTGGACAAGCATCAGTTAAGGTTAGGCTTTCATATTTAATAAATCTCTGCATCTTTATTTGGGAGCTAACTGGTGGTATTGAGAAAGACTTTTTACAGAATCACACTTATTTAATGATTTTAATTTTGGAAGTTTGGATAAGTAAATACTGATGTGAGATATCCTTCTTTATATGTGTTTGCTGGCTAAACATAGACAAGAATTACGTGTTAATTTAAGTTGTAAAAGCTGGTTAATAATAAGCCTTAACTAATATGCCAACCAGTTTATAATTAATACAAGCTTATGTGTGTTTCATTGGGACTAAATGGCTGTAGGACTTGGTGACACAGAAACTTCCAATCAATAATTACTCAATTTCTGCATTACCTTGTGCTAGACGTCTGGCAGATCATTATGGAATCAGATGTGTTTTATGTATATAGGACAAATCTATTCCTGTTTATGGATAAATAATGAAGTCAATTCTGTATCATCTGGTATAAATTCAGCGGTTACAATATGCAAGACAACTCTTCCTGCATGTTGTGAATCAGTAACTATATTAAGAGGTTCTTTAAAATCCCTTAGCACCATGAGTATAGTATATAATTCAGCCTTCTGGACAGAATTATAAGGGCTTTGTTCAACCTTACTTAATTCTTCTGATTTGCAACCTGCCTTCCCTGATTTATTTGCATTATTATAAAATGTATGGGCTACAGTTATTGGAGCATCACGTACAATTCAGGGAAGAATCCAAGAAGTTCTCTTTATAATGTTAAATCTATTTTGGCATAATTGCTATTAATTTCTCCCCCAAAATGTCTTTCCATACGTTTTTTATTTCATCAGTAATGAAATGTACTATAATTTCTGCTGGGTCTATATCTGCTAGTTGATGAAGTCACAATTTACCATTTATAATTAATTCAGAGACCATTTCCACATAAGTTTTAATTTTTTACTTGGTTTATATGATAAAAAGATCCATTCTAATATATTATCATCCCTCTGCATTAAAATTCCTGAAGTAGAAATTCTGGAAGGCAATATGACTAGAAAACAATTAAGATTTGGATTCACCATATCCACATGTGCCTCCTGTAATTTCTCCTCAACAATTGTCAATTTCTTTTCTGCTTCAGCTGTTAAATCTCTCGGACTATTCATTCTTTATCACCATCTAAGGTTTTGTTTAGATCAGGTATTATACCAACAGATGGTCATAGCCTGGAAATGTCTCCTAATAATCTTTGAAAGTCATTAAGAGTCTGCAACCAGTCTCTCCTAATTTGTGCTTTTTGTGTTCTAATTTTCTACAAACCTAATTTATAACTTAGGTAATTGACAGAATCTCCTCTGTATTTTTTCATGAGCAATTTGTAATCCCCATTTTGATAAAACTTTCTTTATTTTTTAAAACATTCTTTCTAAATTATCTATGTTTGAATCAGATAGCAAAATGTCATCCATATAATAGTAAATTATAGAATTAGAAAATTGCTTACATATTATTTCCAATGGCTGACTTACAAAGTAATGGCACAATGTGGAGCTAATAAGCATTCAGTGACAGTCCACTGTTATCTCCTAGTAGGCTGAGATTTATTATAAGTAGGCACTGTGAAGGCAAATTTTTCCTCTATTCTTTTCTTGTAAAGGCATAGGAAGGAAACAATATTTGCAATCAATAACTATAAGAGGCCATCTTTTTGGTAATAGAGAAGCCAGAGGAATTCCAGATTGTAGAGGGCCCATAGGTTGAATTGCCTTATTGACAGCTCTTAGATCTGTCACCATTCTCCATTTACCAGATTTCTTTTTTTACAACAAATACAGGAGAATTCCAAGAGCTGGTTGATTCTTCAATATGGTGAGCATCTAGTTGCTCTTGTACCAGCTGTTCTAAAGCCTACAGCTTATCTTCAGCTAGAGGCCACTGCTTAACCCATATTGGTTTTTCAGTTAACCATTTTAAAGGTAAGGCTGTTGGGTCTTTTAAATGTTTGCTAGTTGCTTTATATTCTTGTATAGCCTGAATGGCTGGAAACCTTTGTGTATAGTATCTTATAAT